TGAAAGACCATTTTGTATTATCAATGTTATATGAAGCAACTCGTAGCATTGACATACATTCCAGATAATTCAACGTACTTGGTTACATATAAGTTAACATTCTTACAGTGTCGTGACAAGGACATAGGGGTACCACAAGTATTAAAGTCTGAAAACACCTTAAATGGTAAACTTTTTTATTATCGAAACGTACCAACCTAGTGAAATCAGAAGTCAGAAGCGAAGAAGCTGTAAGATATACTTGATAAAATATAGGTATATCGAAATTGACTAATCTAAGCTAGTTAGTGGTTGCAGGAGAGGTTGAGCACGGCTTACTCACTTTTGAATTGGTGCGGATGAATGACAGAGCATTTTCTGCTCGGTAAATCTATTAAGATTAACGAAGTCAGCATCCAATGTCGAAGACTTAGAGTACTGTTGTTTTCGGGGATTTAATTACCGCTACAACCGACAACATGTGACTTTCTTTTAACCCAGAACGTGCTTCTGAGTTAAAAATCCATTAAGCGAACTAAGCCGCTCAGAATAGTACCAAAAACGACAATTTAAACCAGAGTAACTTATTTAAAAAGGACAATGGTATTTTTCCTCGCTGAGTAAATTTCATTGTTTTGATCGTTTATTACGTATCAAGACTACTGTTTTTCACTTTAATTGAATTTATTTCAGTTAAAGTATTCGACTAAAGTATCGTTTTTACTGTTTTGTCGTTGGTACTCTTTAGTACCTCTTTTTCAACTGTATCTGTTAGTACTTTTGGTCCTAGCAATCTACAGCTCTTCACTTTTTTTGTCTCTGGGTATCATCGCATATTGAAAAAACCCCTCCTAAATGACCGGACAGTGTAAAAAAAGCAGTTGCCAACGTCCGGGTTGTCGTTATCCTGTTGAAAGCGGCATGCAGTGCGACGAGTGCAAAGGCTGGTACCACGAAGTTTGCACGAACTTAACGCCTGCTGCTTTCAAACGGTTCAGTAAGAAGGGTTGTGTGTGGCTTTGTCAACAGTGCTGCTCGGATGCAAACAGCTTGTTAATCGAGTCCTTCTCACTGGTTGATGCTGCAAAGAAGTGTTTTAACAAGCATAGTCGGAACGCGTCAAACAGCACTCGATCTGTTGACACGCAAATCAATGTGAAGGAAACTAAGGTGAGTCCGGTGATAGATGACTCACGCCCGTCAAAGAGGGAAAAGCAGTCTCCAAAGGGGCCTGCCTTAAACAAAAGGTCAAGAAAAGTAGGGTCTTCTGTTCCCCGTCTCCTAGATGGGATCCAACAGGAAACACCTAGAAGCCGCAATCGCAAGGCTCGATCGGTTTCAGGCGGTAAACATAAACCGACCTGTCATGTTGTCAACAACCCCTCAAAATCCAACACTAGGTTTGATGCAACTGTTATTGCCTCTACCAGCACCGTTGACGAATGGGTACAGGTTGTAAGGAAGAAAAGTATTGATATAAAAGGGAACCCTGCCCCCGCAAAAGTAGTTGAAAACTCGAAAGCTGATCATAGCGACAGATCAGCTATTTTTCATAGAATCAAGGAAAGCGAAAGCTCTGAACCCAAAGCTCGTTTTGAGCATGACATTGTACTGATTAGGCAGCTGCTTAATCAACTCATGCCTCAAAATATGACTGGGGTCACCTTGCTAAACGTGTACAGACTAGGGAGCCTAGCGGACTCGAAACCAAATCATTCCAGACTGCTCAAAGTAGTATTCGGCTCTTCGAACGAACGTGACCTTATTTTACAAAATGGACACAAATTAAAGGGTTCAGAAGTCTTCATCCGTAAGTACCTACCGTTGGCAGACCGTGTTAAAAGACGGGAAGCCGAGAAAGAACTACAACTTAGGTTAGACGCTGGCGAAAAGGACCTGAAAATTGTAAATTTTCGGGTTGTAAGACATTCGACAGAGAACGATGCCGAAGCCACTCTGGGTGAAGCACGAAGGCACTTAAACAGGCTTCGGATCTGTTACACCAATGCACGAAGCTTACTTAATAAGCGATCGGAACTAGGTGTACAGATTGACTCTACAAAGCCAGATATAATCGCAGTAACAGAAACCTGGCTGACACAGGCTATAGATAGTATGGAACTTGATTTCGAGGGTTTTACGTTAGTAAGGGCCGACAGAACACAAAAGCGCAAAGAGGGTAGGTAGCTCTATTCATTAGGAATGCTATCCCATTTGCCATTATCGATAGTGTATCCCTTGAGATTGGGACGTGTGAATTAGTTAGTTGCCGCTTGAAATGCAAGGGACAAGTGCTGCTGGTTGGTTTGGTCTATCGCAGTCCAAGCTGTGAGGCGAATGAGATCCTGTTAAGCAGTCTCAATACTTGGTCCCAAAGTGGGCGATGTCTAATCCTAGGGGACTTCAATGCACCTATGGTAGAATCGGAAAATCTGAGAACTAAATCGTCGGAGAATTCTTTCGAGCAGGATTTAGTTGATGGGTTTATTACTTGTGTTCTAGAACAACATGTGAAGGAAGCGACAAGGTACGATCCGGACACCGAATCATCCTTATTAGATCTTATACTGACTCACTATGAGGATGATGTTGCGAACCTCCACCATATGCCACCCTTAGGTAAAAGTGACCACGCAGTTTTAACTTTCGACTTCCAATATAACTGCCAGTCATGAGGACGCGTCAGTCCAGTCCAGACCCAACGTCTGGAAAGCAAACATACCAGACATCATGCACTCAGCATCGTTAATAGATTGGACAATAGACCCAGAGTCCTCCATTGAAACGGCCTGGGACACATTTCGAAAATCATACTTAAAAGTTACCACACCTCACATCCCTTGGACTATACCAAAGGGGCCGAAAAACTCACCACCATGGTTCAGTAGGGAGGTCCGTATCCTTCTCCGTAAGAAAAGGAAAACGTGGGATAGATTTAGGTTTCTGGGGACTGATGAGTCAAAATCTCAGTATCCAAAGGCTCGGAACACTTGTGCCTCGACCCTCCGTAAGTCTAGAAAATTGTACGAAGAAAAACTTGTTAAGGAATCCATAGAATGTCCTAAACGTTTGTATTCCTATATAAACCAAAGGACAAGGAGAAAAAGAAATATTCCTGCTCTATGGGGAGACAGTACTGCTTCATCATTAGTGGAGGACGACTTTGGTAAGGCTCAAGCGTTCTCGAATTACTTTAGCAACGTATATACCATAGAAGCGCCCTTCTCGTCAGCGTATACCGATCCCCCCATACATACACTGGATAGCGTGACCATTAAAGAACTCGATGTCTTTGGTCTACTAAATAAGCTTGACATAGGTAAATCCACGGGGCCCGATGAATTACATCCTAGGCTACTGAAGGAATTATCTAACTTCGTTGCGAACCCTTTAAGTACATGCTTTAACCTATCCGTTATGCAGGGTCGCTTACCGAAAGATTGGAAAAACGCCATAGTAAGTCCTGTCTTCAAAACAGGCACGAAACACAAACCTGAGAACTACCGCCCCGTTAGCCTAACTAGTGTGGTTGTTAAAATCCTAGAAAAGATTATTCGGAAGGAGCTGTTTAAGTATCTCGATAAAAACCGGATCCTCTCGGAGAAGCAGCATGGCTTCAGAATAGGTTATTCTTGTCTCACTAACTTATTAGTGGCTCGTGAAAGCTGGTGTGCTCTTAAGGACCAAAAGCTACCTGTAGACGTCGCCTTCATTGATTTCAGTAAAGCTTTTGATAAAGTTCCGCACAACCAGCTGTTATATAAGTTAAGACATGTCGGGATTGGAGGTAATTTATTGATGTGGATAAAAGACTTCTTAGTTGGGCGTCAACAAAGAGTAAGGGTGAACTCCAAGTTGTCTAGCTGGGAAACTGTGCTTAGTGGAGTGCCCCAGGGTACAGTTTTGGGGCCAGTGCTATTCCTCTTGTATGTAAATGACCTTCCTTGTCTCCTATCATCATCGGTCTTGCTATATGCTGACGATGTCAAGATATGGAGAACGATACGATGTAAGAGTGATAGCTTAGAACTTCAAAATGACTTGAAGAAGTTATCTGAATGGTCTCAAACATGGCAGTTGCCGATAAATACTTCCAAGTGTGTTGTGATGCATATCGGTCATCAAGGCACAGATACATACACGATGAATAACACTGAGCTACCTGTCGTCCAGACATATAATGACTTGGGAGTTATCGTTAGTCAAGACTTAAAGACTACTGCACACTGCCGTGCAATAGCCGCCAAAAGTTTTAGAACGTTATGGTCAATACGTAGGGCTTTTAGTCATGTCGACACTAAGACGTTTTTGACTTTGTATACAGTGTTCGTTCGTCCTAAACTTGAGTACTGCATACAAGCGGCTAGCCCCTGCTTTAAAAAAGACAGTGAGCTTCTGGAAAAGGTTCGGAGAACGGCGACTAAGCTGGTTCCCGGAATAGCGAAGCTTCCGTATGAATCTCGACTGGCCAAGCTGAACCTTTTCCCGTTGTCATATCGCAGAACTAGAGGCGACTTGATTACAGTCTACAAATTGCTTAGTGATAAATTTGCACCTAACATGCCCTCATTTTTATTGTCTTCCAAAACAGAGAATTTACGAGGACACTCCAAAAAAGTTCATAAGCCGAGAACAAATTACTTATCAGCTGACTATCGACTTTCCCATCGAATCATCGACGAGTGGAATTCACTACCTCAGCACGTGGTTGAGGCTCCATCCGTCGACTCTTTCAAAAGAAAGTTGGATCAACTGAGAGACCACCATTGCCAGGACTAACATAGGCCATCGAGCCTCCTGTCCTTCCCAAACTGAAACTGAAACTGAAACTGAAACTGATATTTCATGCCTTGATGAATAGTAAGGACTCAGAACAATATCCTAATTTGCTCATCATTCTGTGTCACTGATTAAATATACCCAAGTTCCTATATCAAAAATACAGCGATTCACTGCAACAAAACATTTAAGTTCGTAAAGTTAAAGCTATTTCTACTGCATGCATGAACATTTGGACCATTTAATGACGCGGTGATTCTGATTACCGTGCTACTTTCGAAGTCGTCTGTTAAGAAGTATTGTCTGTTTTGTTTGTTTCAGAATATGTAGATACATACATTCAAGTTTTAGTTTTACTTTAAATTAGGAAAGTTTATCGTTCATGAGTATTTAACATGATGCTTCTATGGCTTCAAATCACAAGAACGTTTGCTTTACTTTCAAGTATTTGTGCATTACATTCATATGTTACGTTCATCTAATTCTTGTTCTCTGCCGTTTTTACAACAAAGAGCTGCCTTACTGGTCTCGTAAGCCTTGTGGGTATTTAATTTTCCTCTATCTTACAACGTTGAAGTCAGCAGCTTTTATATCTCTAGACTTCAGGTTGATCCCACTAACATATTTAGCGTGTTGATGAAGGGAATTGAGAGAAGTAAAAAGGAATAGGCTGAAGTTGATTCATTGAGTAGATAAAATGGCATGAAAATGTAAAAAATGTATGCGTAAAAAGAACCGGTGACTATAATTTATTGGTTTTGTTAGAGCGACGTTTATAAACTTGTTAGTTACTATGTAAAATGAACTTAAAACGGTTTGGTGAGGAAGCCGTTGCCGAAACGTTTGAGACAACTTTCCGAAAACCCCGTTTGAAGTCACAAAATAAGTATCTCCACTGAGAATCCATTTTGCTGATAATTTTCACTGCTGAATCGTTTTTGTTTATATGCATTTGTAATTATTCAAATTCAAGAATCATTTCAAAGCATATCGGGCATTTTCGTTTCGATTAGGCAATTTTATGCGGATATTTTACGCTGTTTTCCTAACGTATACTAACTCCGTCGTTTTGCTTAGTCACTGCTTAGCTTTCTCTAATTGGCCCTGTCCTGAACAATATAACTCATATAGAGCAAACTAATGAAGCTTCATATATAAGTTATAACTACTTGATACATCTAATGCTCGGTTTCACACAGCTCAGATTTATCGGCTTTGAGATGTAATACTGGTTCGTTGGGTTTCTCGTAGTTAACTAATCCAGCTAAGATTTTCATCATTAAACTAGTTCACTAACTTTTTTGAGCCGAATATCAGTCAGTCAGTTAGTCAGCTACAACGTAGGACCAGGAACATATATGCATCGGTCCAAGTTGACAAACCTCATTGGCACAACAAGATGAACACCGAATTCATAGTAGCTAAACCAGCAGTAGTAATGTATAAATGGAAGATTGCAAATAAAGACAGTACAGGAAGAAAGAATTTGTTCGTAGGAAGAAAGATATGAAGCGATTTTAATCTCAAAGTTTAAGGGAAGACAAAGAATGTATACAGCTACGCCACTGCGAACGATTCTGAGTCATGTCATCGAGAGTCTCCAACCATTGGTTACGATAGTCAGGCGGACCCCAACCAAGTGGTCTGCATCTACCAACATGGCTCAGACTAGAAGTTAGTGGCTTCAAGCACTGATGCCACGTTTTGGTTTGGCCGCCCCTAACTTTCTTCCAACCATCCCCAACACCAGTCAGCATTGCGTTTTATGTTAATCGGTGTTCAAGCATGCGTAACACATGGCCCAACCATCTCAGTCGATGAAGATTCACAACCTCATCAACTGATTTACCACCATTCCCCAATGCATTGCATCTAACCTCACTACTACTTTTTACAGTGATCCCAGCAGATGCGAGCAATATTTTTAAGAAATCTGTGATCGAATACTAGTAACTTACAAGTATCCTCTACCTTTAACGGCCATGGTTCTCAGCCGTAAAGTAGAACAGAATGAACTGCCACACTGTATACCCGTCCTTTAGTTGATAGACGGATATCTTGCCTTCGCCATAGGTGATGTAAATTGTTACTAGCTGGATTTACATCTGATGCCACCTCCGGCGCTCTTCTTGATCTCTAGATCATTATCTAATCTAATTCTTAAATTTATTTTTCCATCTTAGTGCGTTTAATGTCCTATGAGGTGTAACCGTTGAGAATAGGTGTGTTTAGCCCTTTGTTAGTTCTAGCCTATGTAATGAATGTAGGTAGTCTGAAACAACACTGTCATCAGCCGTCTAGAATGACCTCCACTATGGACAAATCAAACGCTTCCAAATAATCAATTACATATTGTCATACTATCAAAGACGGCAAGCTAAAATTTTTGAATTACTACTCCCATGTAAAAATGTTCAGGCCTAATATGTTGTTTATTGTGTTATTCAACTATCACCTTCTTAGGGTTTTGCCAATAAAAGATTAAATCTGTTATTCAACATAGAAACGGGAGCTCGAAATTCTTGTGCTGTGTTTCCTTGACATATGAATCCAGTGTGTATTGGCTTCGAAGTCAGTCACAGTTGCCAGCAGGACACTGACACCTTTGGATGTCGACTCAGCAGTCTAGCGGCTAGATGTGTCTACATGCGAAACCCAAGATCCTGTATTCGATTCCCATATGTGGGTCCGTGGGTAAACACTTCTGGGAAGTCCCAGACCAGAACAAAACAAACGTCCAGTGCTTCCAGGTTTTCAACGATGACCTAACTTAGATCGGTTCGTGATTTCAGTGAAATTCATAGCTTTTGTGAGTTAATGCTAATGGAAATAATAATAAACTGATCGTTTCATCAAATTAGTTCCCTCTTAGCGGTCCGAACTTCAATTAAAAAACCCGTTCATTTATTTTATGACGGCTGAATTTTTCAAACTTTTCCATCTATTCATTAAAAATTGTACATACATCCCATGTATTCATCTGGTTGACTGTTGTCTGCTTCATAAAATAGGCTTGCGTATATTGCGTACAGTATGCTATAATTTTCTGCCTTTTTTAAAAGATGCTTCTATTTTAGATGTGGTTCAATGGTGCACAGCCTAAAACACACATTGAGGAAGCTAATCGTCATCTCAACGCTTTATCAACTAGGATTAAGGAACTGGAAATACAACTCAAAACTAAGGAGGAAGAGTTGAACAAAAAGGAAGAAGACTTCAACATAGTTATGCAGGTATTATGGTTCAGTATAACATATCTAGGTGAATATTTCATGATCATTTTTGGTCATCATAAATCAGTAGAGTCTTGTCAAATCAGTCGGTTATTCAGTAGTAGATAATAATACAATGATTAAGTACTACGACTCGTTTGTCGAGTACAGATTGGGACCAACTTGTGAAGTCTCATTATTACCAATCTATCCATACTGAATTAAGTGGGGTAAAATTCATATTTTAGATTTACTAGTTAAACTCCAAATATTCTAACCACTAACCCAACATTGTAAATGAAAGCGACCAGAAGTCTAATAACAAATAAAGTTCTCCAGGTAGTATAGTGTCTGCATCAGTAATAATGACCAAATAAAATTGATTACTTCTCACTGACCGATTTATTAGTGGAGTCCTATTTAACACAGCTGAACTAGTGATGATACTTGTGACCGAAGGGCTATGTAGTAGGAGTTCGAATTTTTGAATCAAACTATACACCTTAAATGACTACCACTAAACAACGTACATTACTAGTGATTTATAGATTTAGTCAGTGGAGTTGTAATTCACACCCTGAAACAATGATGTGGTCATTTAATAAATATGATTTACGATAGGAATATATGCTTTGCAGCACAATAGGTTGTGTACAATAAGGCTTAATTTGACTTCATTCATATTTGATCATCGTTTTGCTGGATATTAGTGTTTTTATATGGCGTGATAAACCCTTATTTTTCAACAATCCATTTCAAAGGGTTAGTGATTCGTGGGGAAATATGGCATTTATTTAGACTTGTATTAATTGGTTAATCATCTTTAGCCACTACGCACGTAAATATTTCATAGTTTGCTTGTCAGTAGCCTAAGTAAATCTAGTAGTTTTTAAAGGTATTGTTGGTTTTTCTTATGAAATATCTAAACTTGTTATCTCTGGGGGGTATTCCCCTCTGTCATTCGTGTTGGAATTCATTTTAGTTCAGTTTTGCATCTTCCATGACAGTTGTGCTAAGGTTATGAAACAATCTTATATGGAAAAATATTTCAAAGCTACGTGACTTAACACTTTAAAAGAGAATCTTTACTCTTGATTGAAATCCGAACTTCTAAAATCTTGGCAATCATTTTAGCAATAATATATAGATTTAAAACTTAGCAGTATTCTAAACTTGAATTATCACTTATATATGTGCTAAACAGCAACCTTCCGTAGCATTAAGCATACTTTATCTGATGGTTGTTACTTGAATTTCTAACCATTTTGTCTTCAATTTTAGGAAGTACATGTAAAACGTGAAACAGAAGTAAACAATCTTAATGAATTAATATTTAAACAAAATGTAAAACTCCAACGTTTAGAACGTGATTTACTCAACCGGGACTCGGAACTCAGCGTTTTACGTAAACGTTGTCGTATGTTTGATGAAGTACTTAGATACAAAGCTACATTAGCGAAATTGACTATTACAATGGAGCAAGCCGAACAGTATGCAAATTTAACAGCTAAAAGTTACCCAGTTAGTGCTAATAGTAACGGTGTTAAGAGCCCTCTCGATGTTATCAACACAGATCCAAGTCCACTTATGATACGAAATGTTGGTTCAAGCACTGATATAACAGAAACTGATTGTTTAATTGAAGAAGTTGGGAAAACACTTATCCAGTCTGAAGGTCAACGAACAAAATCATTGGCCCATATTGTTAGTAATGGTCAGTTGTGATTTTCTTTTGTACATGTATTCTTGTTTGCCTTTCTTACACTTTTCTATTCCTTTTCACTGTCCCTTAATAATTGGCTCTAAAACTGGTTATATTTTAACACAATAGTATGCTAATTATTCCAGTTTTGTTTTTTCGAACATTGTCTCTTAATCTCTGTGATTTGTTCTCTATAATGTACTTTAGTTTACACATAAAATTTTCAGTTAAATCACACATGCCTTAACTAGAACTTTGTGTGATCACTTGAGTTGACTGTGATATTTTTCAAGATACTTAACTTGTAATTTAACGGTTACTGGTAGAGTTTTATAACTGAATGATTGATGGTAGTTGGAGATGGAGGAAAATTCAAAGGAATCATCAATTTAGACTACAACTTGATTCAAATCTTAACACGATTTAGATTTTCGTGTAAAAACATTGAGATTTTATGTGTATAATGAAAAATTGTATGTATTACCGTTATGGCCGCAAATTATTTCTTGTACACTGATAAATTGTAATTTGTTGTCCACATATGATTGATAAGATAGTTCATTTTCTGTTATATATAAGTTTTCAGTTGAATGGTAAATATCATCCCGATAAACGACAGTAAAAAGTACAATACGTCATGCTTTTAACATAGGTTAAGTACTGTGACCTCAACTGATAGTATGCACACTATATTATAACCAAATGGGTGTAAAAGAAAAATGTACAAGATAAAGTTTTGTACTAATAAAGACTTCTTACCACATATATATTTCTAAAAGCTCCGTAGTAGTTTCAAGAAGTTACTATTTTTTTCTATCATAAACTTAACTCTTGCATAAAAAATATAAACGGGTGATCAGAAGTACATTCAGGTTGTGAAGTATCCGACGGGCTAAATTTAAGGTGGGCACACGCTATTTCAAACCTAGTGTGTTTTGTCTTGCTTATTATTTTGATGTGTGTTATCAATAGCTAATTCTGTTCTTCATTAGTTGTTTGTAGACTACTTGAAATTATGCTCGACTAAATATCTCAGTGAATCCTAATAAGTGTAGGAATTATTTGTTGTTAAACTTGAGGAAAGCTAGTAAACCAAAATAAAAGTTCCTAAACTTTCAAAATGAGGAATCTATCCAGCTGTTCAGACTTTATGAGAAACGTGGGCTAAATGACATTATTTAGTCTGTACATTAGAATGGATTTGCCTAATACATTTTTCTAACAGTTGTGTTATAAATCTCTTTTCTTACAGTTATGACCCAGCTATTCCTATTGCTTAGTATTCTCGGACACCGATTCACTCGACAAGTCCCCAAATCAAAACACGGTTGAACAGTAAGAGATTATATTCCAAATAACAAGGTTAGATGGAAGTCAGAAGCACAATAGGGAAAACGTCAGTATATTTATAGTTTTTACATAAGAAGATTCCAGAGTATTCTCCAACTATCGACTAGTGCTGATTGGATAAGAATTAGCCAATCAGAGTGCACCAAAGCAATCATGCATTGAACATGTTTTAATCTAGTCTATGTCCCGCTAACACCTCCCCTTTGAGCAGATTCGTAGGATCTGGTGCTAAGGTCCAACTGCAACCGAGTGACTGGCTTGTGCTTTCGATTAGTCCATCGTCTAGGCAATAGAGAAGTATCACTCTTTTCTTGCACAGAAACTGACGTGTCTATTCCCGGCGTTTTGATTTCAAAGGTGTCTAGCAGAACATCAAGAGGTAATCGATATTGAATTTTGTTGCTGGCTATTGAAGTTGCTTTCAATTGGTTAGCATGGCGTACCCAAACTTCCGAGCCAACTGACACCTCGTAAACCACACCTCTTCTTTTTCAAGATCTGACCAGCTGTCCATGTAGGATGTTTCCCACTATAGTCCATAGGAAGTACTTTTTGTCCCACCGTGAACAATCGTCTTTGTGCCCCATGATGTCGGTTGAACTGATTCTCCATCGATAGGTTTCGTTGGGGTTCAATAGCTGGCGTAGGACGGATGACATCGAAATGTGTTCGTATCTTTCTGCCAAGTAGAGCTTCTGCTGGAGAGACCCCGTTAATCGTCTGAGGGTTCGGTGTAGAGCGATAAATAAACAGGAACCTCTCTAAGATATCTTCAGTGGTCCCTTCCCCTTTGGATTTTTTTAGAGCATTTTTAAATGTACTCACAAAGCGTTCCATTTGACCATTTGGTTGGGGATGGAATGGAGGTGTTTGCAGGTGCTGGATTCCGTTCTGCCGACAAAATTATGAGAAGATTTCGGACGTAAACTGTGTCCCGTTGTCACTAACTATCAATTCCGGGATTCCGAAACGACTGAATAGTTGACGTAGTTTACTGACTGTGCAGCTTGCAGTCGGGTGTTCCATGAGAAAAATTTCTGGCCACTTGCTATATGCATCAACCACCAAAAGGTAAGTTTGTCCATGAAGTGGACCAGCAAAGTCCAAATGTATACGCTACCACGGTAACTGTAGTATTGGCCATGATTGCAGCTCTGCTTTTCGCGGTGCTTTTGCTGCTAATGCACATTTGGTACACGAGCGGGATAGCTGCTCCAGTTGGGTGTCTAAATGCGGCCAGTATACATAACTTCGTGCTAGTGCTTTCATGCAATTTATTCCAGGATGTCCTGCATGCAACTGTTCAAGCACTGCTGGTTGTAGCTTCTTGGGGATTATGACACGTTCGGCAAATAGCAGACAGTCATCGATGATTGAAAGAGAGTCTTCTCTGATAAAACTGTTGAAGCTCTGTGGAACTGATTTTCGAGGGCCACCCTTCTAGGTGGAACTTTCTAACTTCTTGTAGGGTTGGGTCTCGAAGCGTTTCTTCTCTGACTTCATCAGACGGCACTGGGGTGTTTCGAATGACATCTGCTACTGTACTTCGTATTTCTGGGTCTACTGCTGTGGAGGCAATGATTATATCCTCTGGTCCAGGATGTTGAACTCCAATTAATCGAGAGAGAGCGTCAGCTTGACCGATAGTATTTGTCGACTGATACTTGATATTGAAATCATAACTCAGAAGCATTGTTGCCCAGCGCTGTAGTCTATTAGCCGTATAGACAGGGATTCCTTTCTTAGAACCAAAGATTGCAATCAAAGGTTTGTGATCTGTCAGTAGAGTAAATGTACGACCATAGAGCATTTTATGAAATCTTTTGACTGCGAAAATGATTGCAAGAGCTTCCTTTTCAATTTGGCTGTAGTTTCGCTCGGCTGGAGTAAGTGACCTAGCAGCATGGGCAATTGTCTTTTCTGATTTATCCGGAAACACGTGAGATATCACTGCTCCCACTCCATGACTAGAGGCATCAGATGCAACAACAATTTCCAAGCTGGGATCGAAGTGCGTCAAAAGTATCTTTGAGCTGAGCATTGATTTGACTCTGTCAAAAGATGTTTGACATTCTGCTGACCACTGCCAAGGTTTATCTTTCGAAAGTAATTCATATAGGGGATCTCCCACTCGATGCGTTTCAGGCAAGAATGTGCTGTAATGACTGATTAACCCCAAGAAGGATCTTAATGAAGAAACATCAGTTGGTGCAGGCATCTTCTGATTGGCTTCGATGTTGGCAGGGTCTGGTCGGCGACCGTTCTTATATAAGATAAAACCAAGGTATTTGATCGAATGCATGAAGAAGATACATTTTTCCTCACGTGGTTGGAAACCATACTCCAACATTCGGTTAAGGACTTGGTGTAGTCGATCAGAAAGTTCACTATCAGTTGAACCTATAACTATGATATCATCTAGATAAGCTGCTGTACCAGATATACCTGTTAGCATCGTATCCATTATTTGCTGAAATATTGCGGGTGCGGTCTTGATGCCAAATGGTAGACGGGTGTATTGAAATAAACCTCGATGAGTGTTAATGGTCAGAAGCTCTCTACTATCTTCATCTACTTCCACTTGGAGATAAGCATCAGAGAAGTCTATTTTCGCGAAGCATGTCCCATCATTAAGCTTGGCTAACAGGTCTTCAGGAACTGGTAATGGATATTGATATACATCTAATGCAGCATTTAAACCGGTCGAGAAATTGGCACATATGCGTATAGTCCCATTAGCCTTCTTAATCACTACGATCGGTGCGGTCCATGCAGAAGAGCTAACTGGTCGGATTACACCAGCCTGTTGCAAGCGATTAAGTTCCTGGTCGAATAGATCAAGAGCAGCATATGGTACAGGACGTCTCGGGCGAAAAATAGGTATGGCATCTGGTTTCACTGGTAAGTGCGCTTTCATCTTGGTACAGTAGCCAAGGCTATACTGAAAAACAGAGGCAAACTTTCTTTTTAGTTTTTCTAGTAACCTTTCACCTGTCTTCTTTGGAAGTACTGGGGTGTCCAATGATGAGCACAATACGTTACAGACACTGTTAATTGGTATATCTATTATTGCAAGTTAGTCTAACATATCTAGACCAAGAAGATCAAGGTTCGGCCGTTCTGTTAGGTAACATATTCCTGTACAGTTAGTTCCATTGAAAGGAAAATTCACACTGTAATTCACCAACCAGTTTTAGCACACCACCTGATGCGTTTTTAGCTGTTTTCTTAGATGGCTTCATTGGCGGTTTACCCAGCAAGTTATACGTTTCTCTAGACACTAACGTGATATCTGATGCCGTGTCAATTTGAAGACGAGCTGATATGCCGTTCATCCGGATGGTAACATACTTTCTCTGAATGTCATAGTTTGTTTGAAAGGCAGCTACCAAAGAAAGAGATTTGGACTCGGCTGATTTCACATGTCGAGGACGTTTATGCTTCTTCTTAGGCTGGGACGTACGCTTCGGTGGACAATGACCTTCTTTATGTCCACGTTTGTTGCACGCCTGACATTTATGCTTCTTGAACGGACAGAATCGTGCATAATGCCAATCACCGCATAACCAGCATGCAGTCCTTGGTTTGTTACGAGTTGTTACCGGCTTCTGAACTTTTAACCTAGTAATAGTATTTACAATACCGCAGGTTAAATTAGGGTTTACCTGTTCAATCAACTTATTGTCGTGTCTGATGCTCTGTAGACGCTTACACTCATCTGTCAATGTTCTGAGTGTGACGTTTGGGTTTTGATCCAGTCGACCTAAAAGTCTAATCCTGATCTCAGCATCTTGTGGTGACTGAAGAGCTTTGATGAATATTAAGCATTTAAATTGGTCATCACTCAACGAGCGTAACTTGACACGTTCACATTCTCTGTTGACGATGTCTGCTAGAACACCATATTCATCGGCTTCGCGTTTCACCAAATTTAGACACCGATATCGAATACTAAACAACGAGGATGACTCGCCGAATATCTCTGACAACTGAAATACCTTCTCCTCGAAACTGAGCTCTCGAGGTAACTTTGGCAATATATGGTCAGCAAAACGTGCATTTTCATTGCTTCGCAACTTACGTACCAACAATCGGGTCTTCCACGCATCGTCTTGGTTACAGAATTCTGTTCTAAATGTATCTTCCCAGCGTTTGAACCACGTGAGGAAAGTATTTCCACTTTCGGGATCATAGATGAATTCTGGGATGCTGCTAGCAACTGCATCACAAGACGTACTTGAAATAGCATGTGAACTCGAGCTGTGGATGTTGAGCTGTTGAGTCAGAGTCTCCAACAACCGCATTTGTGCATCAAGTTGTACTTGCTGTTGTTGTAGTATTCGGTTAAGCTGGTCATCTGATATGGGCATCTTGAATTTGTTTTCCTTTTTCTCCGTCGCCACTGTTATA